ACAAAAATAATGGTTTTTTTTTCCTCATGATATATACAGCTCTTTTTTTATTTTTATTTTTATAAGTACATCTCCTTTTTTTAAAAAAATAGTTAAATTTCTAAATTTTATAATTTTTAATTATTTAATTTTGCAACCCCAACATTTAATTTAGAACTTTTTCTTCTTTTTCACATATCTCCTTTTTCTTTTTTTTAGTTTTCACATGCATCTCTTTACCTTTCTTCTATCCTCACTTATTTAAGTAGGTAGTTTTAATTATTTTAGTTTTGCATTACACTCTTCCCCTTCACCTCTTTCATTTTTATCACTATTATCTTCTCCCTCCCCTCTTTTAGTTTTCACACACACAAAATATAGAACTAATTTTCAATATTATAGTTGCATGTGACTTTCTTAACAATGTCGAAAGTGTCGAATCAAATGTGCATTTTTTTCTTCGAACACTTCTCTCATTTACACATAGAAAACACATCAAATAATTATAGTGTTCCAGAAAGTACTTTCTAAAATAGTAACCAAAAGCACTTTTCAAAATTGAGTTTTTAGCATACTTCCGAAAAGTACTTTATGGAACATTAATTTTACTATTTCGAAAAGTACTTTTTGGAACATTAATTTACATAATTCTGGAAAGTTCTTTCTAAAATAGTAAATTTAGCATTTTGAAAAGTACTTTGTTATCTTCTTTGGCAAGTGTACCAAATCGTATAAATAGTTTAATGAAAGTATGAGTATCGTCTCCCAAGGGAATTACACAACACTTTACAAAATCACTCGTTATACTAAATAAGCTACCAAAAAGCAATAAGAATTTGATTTGTTGTAGTAAATAATCTAAGCAAACAATTTGAATGTTATAAGAATTCTTTTTGGTATTTTTGTAACACTTAAGATGTAAAACTTGATTCTAAAACAATATTAATAAATGTTGGGGTTTGACTTCAATAAACCTTCCTCTCATGTTTATCAATGAGCTCACAATAGTTATCATTTAGAATTTTATCAATCACTCTAAAAAATAACCAACCCTAATCCCTTACAAGTAGGCATCTAAGTTTCTAGATTAACCTATCAACTCCTTGCATAGTTTAACCTAGAAACTAGTTTTCAAAACTAGAGCTTAAAAAACACTAATGGCATTTACTCTATTCCTAGATATAAGCACCAATAGTTGCTTTATTTCCATTCAAAGGCTCAAAAGTATTTTCCAATCTCTTAAAAACCTCAAGTTCAAGTTAAGGGAGATTAAACCATAATAAGCATTATGTACAGGAAATTGAGCAATAAAACTAAATAACAACTGAGATTGATCACTTAGAGTTTATACATGAGAATGAGTTTATTAAATCAAACCCCAATAAGGGTGAGATTAGCTACACATAGACATATAAAACTCTACAAAATGATGAAGAAAGGAAGAAGTTTGATCTTGAAGGTTCCAGAGCTCTCTAGCCGTCACACAGACTCCAAGAAAGGTTCTCCCTCGTGACTCCTCGAAATTCCCTCTTTTAGGTCATAAAAGTTTTTGTCTTATCTGAGTAATGACTTTTTGGAACATTGACACTCAATGCCAATTTCCATGCTCAGCATGATGACTGAAGTTGTTTCCTTGACTCTCTGCCCAACTGAGGCTAATTGTGGATCTGAGGCTTAGCATGGAGACTCAGCCAAAAGTTCCTTTTACTTTGAACTCACCACTTTGTCCTTTTCTTCCTTCCATGTTTCCTAACTTTCTCCTAAACTACAAAATAACAACCAAATATTTGTAAGTCACCAAAAAACATGATTCAAAGATAAAATATGATCACTTACCAATTTAGATATATTTTGCGCTCAAAACAAGATCTCAAGCTATTGGAAATTGATATAAGTGCTCCAAATTGGATCATAAACTTGATGAAATCATAGCACTTATCATACTTTCTGGAATATATGTAAAAAAATATAATTCTAGAAATTTTTTTCAGAACACTAATTTCACTTTCCCATAAAGTACTCTGAAATAGTAAAACTAGTATTCCAAAATGTCTTTTTGATAACATTAAGTTTAATTTTAAGATTTTTGGAGGTGTGAAAGGAGAGGAAGGGTTGGAAGAAAAAAAGTGTGCCTAAATCGACAAAAATTGTCAAAAAAAGTCGTACATACTTACAATACTGTCGTGTATCAATTTTACGATCTGTGTGCATGTGGAGGAGAAGAGAGTAATGTAAAAATTCAGAGAGCTAAAACTATTGTTGGGAACAAAAAAATCTCCTTTTTCTTTCACTACAAGAAAATATGTTATTATCTACGGAATATTATCTACGAAATTTTTTTCGTAAATAATGTTTAGTTATCTACGAAATATTACGTAGGAAATTTATTTTGTAGATAATTTTTAGTTATCTACGGAATATTACCTATGAAATTTTTTTCGTAGATAATATTTAGTTATCTACGGAATATTACCTACGGAATTTGTTATCTACCGAATATTACCTACGGAATTTTTTCCATAGATAATGTTTAGTTATCTACAGAATATTATCTACGAAATTAGTTATGTACGAAATATTACCTACGAAATTAGTTATCTATGGAATATTACCTACGGAATTTTTTTCGTAGATAATGTTTAGTTTTCTACGGAATCTTACCTACAGAGTTAATTATCAACGGAATATTACTTACAGAATTAGTTATCTACGGAATATTACCTATGAAATTAGTTATCTACGGAATATTACCTACGGAATTTTTTCTATAGATAATTTTTTAGTTATCTAAGTGATGTAAAGAATATTTGGTAAAAAAATAAATATTATTAAAAATTATCATTTTAAATTTTTTATTTTTATAAATTAATGATGATGAAAAATAACATACTAATATTTGGTTTTAAATTTGATATGAAAATATTATGATATAATTAGATAAGATTTAAAATCAGTATTTTATTAATGGTTGATAATTCGAAAATAAAACAAAAATAAATATATTTTTTTGAATTTTATATCATAGATTTAAGATGAATAAATATATTAAGTTAATTAATATAATTTATTTAAAATGTTAA